CCAGGCCTTCCTTGGGGTTCTTGAGCAAATGTAAAATTTATGTGGAGTATGTGTTAAATACGAGATATAACAAAAAAATCGATCCGCAAAAATTAGAGTGGAAATCTGCAGTAAATGTTATCAAATTATAATTCCTATAGAACTGTTATGACTTGAAAAATGCAAATAACTGGCTTACTTATTCAATTTTTAATAAATGTTTAATGAAATTTTTAAAAACAATTAAAGAAACATTTTCTCGACAATTTTTAAAAAAATTATTTTTTCAAAAATATTTGGTGTTGTGGATTTTTTTAACTTTCCAAAAATATTCTTGATTTGATTTTGATTTTATTTCTTTAAATCCTAAAATTAAAAAAAAATATCATAAATAGTAAAATTTCTTTTTTTTTAACAAGAAGAAATATTTCTCTTGATTTTTCGTATATAAAGTCGCAAAATAAAATTATAAAAATTTTATGTGGATGAACATTATAATCATGATTATTGTGAAAATGTTCAAAACTGAAATATTTATCAACAACGTTGGAAAAAATAAAAAAAAATTCCTTCATTTTTACAAAATTTTTTCCAAGGTTATCTCTCAATAATAGTGTATAAGGTTTGGAAAAATAATTAAGACTTTAAATTTTAGTGTAATTTTGTTCAGTTTTTTGCCTTTAATTTAGGATCATTTTTTAAAAAAATATTTTTTTTTGTAGTTATTCATTTCTATTTTTTGCAATGTTTCTATGTATTAGTATTGTTTGTGAATAAGAATGAAATGAAACTCATCTATAGGCGGTTCTGAGGGCAGGGGGCTTGCGGCATGTCCTTCCCCCCCCCCTCCCCCCATGAATAAAATCAGGAGATGTGGGGGGGGGGAGGTCTTAAGCTTTTATTTTCTGAAATCCTTTTTTCTTTCCAGCAATTCTTCATATTTTCATATTTCAAACAAGGAAAACTGCTATAACAAACAGTAAAGGTTTGAACCATGTTGTTGCAAAATTACAGGAATTATAATATTAGAGTTTTAGGCGAGTGTTCCTTTTGTTCCTCGTCTAATTATTATAATTGAACCGTGTTTTAAGCTATAAACTTTCCTTAAACAAACCAAATATTTTATTCGGAATTAAAAACGTTAAAAGTCCGAATCTAATTTCTTCAAGTTTGCTTTCCAACGTTTACTTATGTTGTCCAAGGGCAGGGGCTGCAAAATAAAAAAAGTTAAATTGAATTTGAATTTTAAAAACTATTTTTTGTTTTAAAGACATTTTTTGTCCAATTCTGTATTTTTGTCTGCAAAATAAATTTTTTAAAAGCCCAAAGTTGTTCAATGCTATAATTTAAAACCTAAGTAGAATTTCTTTTAATATTTATTCCTCATAAGTCATATTATATTACCCCCCCCCCCCCTTCGACATGTTGTTTTTATTTCAAAGAATGGGGTGCCCCTGGCTAAGCAAACTTGACTTAAAAGCTTTTTCCAAGTTTTATTTAAACTTATTTCTAAGTTTTGTTTAAGTGTTTCGTGTTAAATGATAATAATAGGTTTAAAGAACGTTGTACAAACTTTCTTTAGATTACATTATTTATTAGGTTTGGAGGTTTTAATCTTTTTCATTTTTTATGCNAAGTATGTACAATTTCAATTTTACGTTTTTAGATTAAAAAATTATAATTTTAATACAGTTTTATATCAATTTCTTGAGACAGGAACATCAGATAAAACTTTCATTGGTCGCGATCAAGAGCTAAAGTGATTAGCTTTCAGCCTATACCCCCTTACATTTTTCCTTTACAGTCCCTTTAAGGCATTATACTTGGTTCAAAAAAGACTTTTCCGATTAATTGATTCACTTTCATTTTCATTCATATTATTTTCAGTAAATCCAAAAACAATTCTCCCGGATTTGCTAGATCTGTTGTTGTGGGTCTACTGCGGAATAGGTACAGGAAGATGACTGATCGACTGCTTATTACAAGGATGTATAATGCAAGGAAAGTTATTTCAGAGGTGTACGCATCTTTTGTACTGCAGTGTACTGTCACTGGTCGGTAATGTAAACACAAGACGGATGTCGAAGCCTGACATGGGATCATCTTTCACCCAAATAATCAATGAAATATTCTGGTCATAGGAAACTCGTATGTGAAATATCAAAATTATCAAAATTTAATGCTTTTAACCTCCTCGGATACTAAACGAACACTGATGCATTTATTCTTGTTTACAAATTCCGCCATGAGAGAACTGGTTTCAATATTTACGCAGAGTATGGGCAAGTGCAATTACCTTTCCTTGCATTACAACCTTGATTACCGTCATCCTTGAACAGACAAAGGTTTGAAAAGGTCCTGTTGTGAATAAGACAAGCCCCACTCTTTAAAATACGGGGCAATTGTAATTACAAGGTTACTGCAGTTCATTCAAGTACGTTTAAAAACATTTTTCTTAATATTAATAACAGTTCTTAATTGTATTTGTTTTAAAATAACTCAAGTATACTTGTCAAAATAAAAATTTTACATTTATAAAATATGCTAAATACATTTCATTAATTATTAAAATATTGTGCAGTATAATGTACAATTATGCACATGATACACAACCCTTTGAACGAAAGTACTTACAAAGCAACTTTTTAAATTTGTGAAGAAAACTATTTGTTTTAAACAGTGTTTATATTTCAAAATAAATCTATCTATCTATTTATCTATCTTTTTCTCCCCCAAGGTTAAGAAGGTGTTGTATATAAACCATATGACCGTGTACTAATCGATATTTACGGCTTCTATCTTCAGCTCCCTGTAATTAGTAGGCTTACGTCTTTAATGCCACGGTAATGTCTTGGAAGTATAGAAATGGGAAGCAAGGGGTGTACAGGATGGGGGGAGGGGGTTTTTAGAAGAGGTGAAATAGTATTTAGTGAAATATATGACAAGGGGGGAGTATATATGATAATATAAAGGAAAAAAGGAGTTTAT